TCCTCTGAAACTTGAATGAAGGGTTCACTCTCCACTCGAGGAAGGGGGAATCGTTATACAAGAAACAAAGAACTTCAATCCCGACTTAACTGCTACGTAATGAAATCATTCTAATAAATTAAATGTAAAGATCCATAATTTTTAAGAGATGAATTCTTAAATGATACAATCATGTTATAATTAAAATGAAAATGTAGAAACTCATAAACTAATTATTTTAAGTACAACACCGAAATGTAACATAAAGTGCAAACTAACTAAATTCTTACACTAGCAATTAGCAAACAAGCACTATTATAATTAAATTATGCATGTTCTTACAAGTTAGAATATTCGTAATTGATTCTATTTAATTTTGCAAGTCTAGCACCTAGTTATACGAGACTAATAATAATTAAAAATAATACGGAGTAATAAAGAAAATTTATAAAACACAAATTAATGTAATAAAATGTAATAGTAATAAGGATGTTTTAAATTAGATTATAATTAAATTCAGACCAAATATAATAGAAAATATATACTTGGTATAAAATAGACATCTATCATGTCAGACTAATTCAGACTTCACCAGACAAAACAAGATCAAATGACTAGAAAATTCCAATCAAATAAAAAACATACAAATATTAAAACTAAAATTATAAAATACTCATCCCGTCCTAGAAAACCTTGCCGTGAAAATTTACAAATATTTCTCTTTAGTGTGCATAAATAATTAAATATCAACCACATATTCACATGACGTTTACTTTATATTCCATGTGCAAGTCAAGTTTAGTTAAACTTTATAGGATGAAAGAGTTAACGATCTATTTAGAATAACCAGTGTATTAAGAGTGTTAGCAACTCCCATCCTGTGCTTTGGTATGAAAGAAGATTTAAAAGTACTCCTTAATGATATATAGCTTGATAGCCATAGCCATTGGGACAAGAAGCAACTCGGTCTAGTCCCATACTCCCATAGGGATGAACTCGGGTCAGTAAGGTCCCAGTTCCGTGCCAAGAATACTTGATCCGAAAAAACTCAGTCGATTCAGGACTGACCTGCTATTTTCCATATATTGGCCGGTTCAGGGTACCCGAGCGGTCCAATTTCAATCTCGAACTTGTTATTGGTTTTTGGGGGTTTTTGGGTTTCAAGCTTAAAAAATTGGCAAGTCCGCGGCCGGAATCGCCCGATTCAATTCCCAAATAGGTGAACCAAGACCGTGAACCGCTCTTGGGCGGACAGAGCCAGTCCAGGACCAAAACATGAAATTCTTTACCCGGTCCAGTCGCAAACTGTTCCGAACCCGGTTCCGGACCGGGTCCAGCCCTTGTCCCATATATTAAGATCGAAAATGTGCACAAATTGACTCCCTTTTGAAATTTGAAGTCATATAGCATAATAGACCCATCAAAATCATTTATTTTTAAAGTAGAACAATTCATCATAAAACTGAATGGTTATTAAGTAACGACATATGTCTATATGACTCCCTTAGGCTAAGTGTAACTCTGCCCGTCAATAAATCTAATACTGCTCCTATTAATACGTATTCACTCAGTCAATTAAGTTTTTCTCTGCAACCCAGTACCGTCAATATATCCACTCAGCACATTTTTTTATAATTAAATGCATAAATCCTTAGTTATTTTATTACACATCATTTGTGTATTAATTTTGTTTCGACCAATAATTATTGTTTTAAAACGCAAACATTCCAATGCAAAAAAATAAAAAATGTGAATTAATTTTTTTTTAAGTATTACAAATGCGTACTTGAGTTCAATTTGAAATAAAATCAAAACTATTACTTGTTTTCTATATTTCTATATTAGTAATTTTCATTTTATATACTATGAACTTGTTTAATATCAAATTTAAATCAATTGAAACACATGTTGTAAAATTAAAATACCAGCAATCAATTACTAGAAACACACATAATATTCGGTACTATAATTAAAAAAGAGGAAGAAATCCTAATACATTACAATAATGAAAAAAGCTACTAATTGTAGTAGCATTATTGAACTGAAACGAATGAAAAACAGTAAATAATATAAAAGTAACACACTACATTTCGGGAAGCTACTAATAGTAGTAGCATTATTGAACTGAAACGAATGAAAAACAGTAAATAACATAAAAGTAACACACTACATTTCGTTCCCGTGATGGCCCCACAAATGATTCACGAGATCACTTTTAAGAGCAGTGTGCACCACAGTGCTCCTGATGCGGTTATGTCGCATCATGTAGTCGTGAAAAGTTGGGGCATCGTGATTAAGATCAAACTCAATGTGCGGAACAGTATAGTCATATTGCGCACTATAGTCTTGAGTACTTACATCATCATCTGTTTCTTCATACTCATCTTCTACAATCATGTTGTGTAAAATAATGCATGTCAGCATTATATCACGTAATGTCTGCGTTTGATACATTCGACCGGGTCCTCGTACGACAGCCTATCGCGTTTGTAAAATGCCAAACGCTTTTTCCACATCTTTGCGATAGGCCTCTTAGCAGCAAAGAGGCGTTTCTTGGGGGTGTCGGGGTTACTAATCGTTTTAACAAAAGTAGCCCATGTGGGATAGATTTCGCCGGCTAAATAATAACATTGATTATAGATGTTATTGTTAACCATGTAACTTACCTGAGGAGCACATCCATTAACAACAGCATCAAAAACCGGAGAGCATGCAAGTACGTTAAGGTCATTATTTGAACCCGCCGTCCCAAAAAATGCATGCCATATCCATGTGTCGTACGAAGCTACGGCCTCAAGCACAATAGTTGGTTTGTGCTTGTGCCCAGTGAGCTGTCCCGCCCATGCCGTAGGACAATTCCTCCATTCCCAGTGCATACAGTCGATGGACCCAATCATTCCGGGAAAACCTCTTTTTGTAGCCTTCTCAAGAAGACGACGGAGGTCATTGGGGTTTGGTGTTCGCAAGTACCAAGAACCATATATTCCGATAATTGCCTTACAAAATTTCTTCAAGCATGACAAAGTCGTGCTCTCCCCTAGACGACACAACTGATCTAACGAATCGACAGAGCAGCCATTTGCTAGCATGAATATGGCACTAGTAATTTTTTGGTAAGGAGAAAGTGATACCTTATTGAGTGCATCTTTTTTTCGTGCGAAGAAAGGATAGGCTCCGACGACATCATTCATTATTCGATCAAACAAAGTCGGTTGCATGCGAAAACGACGCCGGAATATGCGAGCGTTATATGTTGGATTTGGACTCCAATAGTCATCCATCAAATGTTGGTGGCCTTCTTCCCTGCCTCGGTCAATGTACTCACGGTGACCACCGGAGCTTGAAGAAACAAGTGTCATCATAACAGCCATTCTCATACGATGAGTGTCGGCCTCACAATCATCATACTCATCTAAGGCTGCTGACATATCGGGATAAGAACTCATGATAAAGGAATATATTAGAGTGTATAGAGAAATGATGAGGATTGAGTGTGAGAAGATTGTGAGGTGAGACATGTATTTATATATATATAAAATTAAGCAAATGGCAAGATGTTTCAAAAACAAGTGGGTACTTATTATAGGAAACAATAGTTTTGGTGCGAAGAAAGACATAAACCCATATTAAATGTGAAAACTTGTGAAAACCGATGTTCAAGGCGCACCCATATTAAATGTGAAAACTTTAAATCATATACCTCCATTAAAATATCTCTTGCAAGTGTAGCAAAAATCCAAGAACGCACTGTTTGATCAATTTTAAGCCAATGATGATAATCTGGATCGGCAGGAGAAGGAACAACAATTGAACCATCCACGATCCCGAGTAGAGAGTGGGATACAAGGAAAGATTCAAATTGTGTTCGCCATGGTAAATAATCCTCCACAGCAGATAAACGGGTAGTAACAATATTGGTCACGTTTGGTGTTGAAAACACCAATTGTGATGACAAAGTGGAGAGTAAACCTGAAGTAGGGGCCGAACCTGGGGCTGTTGAAGACTGTCCGGGCAGCAAAGGGTGTACACCGGCCTGGCCTGAAAAGGTGGGTCCCGCAAACGGCATAGGAGGTGCACCGATGACCGGATTAGAAGCTAGCGACGTCAGCACTGGAGGCGGTGGTAGGCTTACGGTAGGAGTCCAAGAAAAAGGTTCCGGCATATTGAACAAGCTGTAGGATTCTAGGGATGGAAACTGCGATAGCCTTGGACGAAAAGTCGGTGTGAGGGGTGACCGAGATGCAGCGACGTCACCTGAAGCCGTGGTGGGAACGACACTGCTCGAGCCCGTCTTGAAGGTCGCCGCAGGTCTGCCGAGGGGGCTGATTATCGCGGACGAAGGCAGCACCGGCTGCGTGGGCGCCTGAGGTCCGATGTGTTGCGGCTGCTCCGGTGAGATGGGCGCCTGCCTTGGATCGACAACGCCAGTCATGATGGCGGAAATAGGGGTACCGGCCATAGGATGGAGAAAACCTAGGCAGCTGATACCATATAGGAAACAATAGTTTTGGGAAACAATGGCTTACCCTATTGGGTGCCTTGAGTATATATTTATAATAAAACAGAGTTATGGAATATTACAAAGTAATCCCTAAGTATTACATTATTACTTATTAGATGTGAAAGGACATAGCAAGTGGCTACTATCTACAAAGGACATAGCAAGTGGCTACTATCTACATGTGAAATGAATAACCAAGTTGGTACTTATTAGATGTGAAAGGACATAACAAGTGGCTACTATCTACATGTGAAATGAATAACCAAGTTGCTACTTATTAGATGTTAAAGGACATAGCAAGTGGCTACTATCTACATGTGAAATGAATAACCAAGTTGGTACTTATTGGATGTGAAAGGATAAGGCAAATGATGGTTTACTCAAACATTTTTAAATAACTGAAATGCAATTGAATTAAATAACGAAAACTGAAATATATTGAATTAAATAACGAAAACTGAAATGCAATTACATTAAACAACGAACACTAAATATATTTAGTTACATAAGGAAACTGAAATAAGGAAAATGAAATGCAATTGAATTAAATAACGAAAACAGAAATACACTTGAATTAAATAACTAGTATGAAATTTGAAATACAGTGGAATTCAATATCAAAAAGGAAAATACGAAATTTGAAATACATTGGAATTAAATAACTAGTACGAAATTTGAAATACACTGGAATTAAATAACAAAAACGAAAACTGAAAAACTACACCATCCATGCCCTAGTCAAAATTAGGAAAGTAGTCATTCCCATACGCGGAAGTGGCGGCATCGGTACTCGAGACATCTTGATCATAGCCCAAAATGGCATTTTGTTGTTCTCTTAGCCACATTTGCTTCCTCGGTGAGTACGGACTTAGATCCATGGTTACGACATCTATATGTTTCAGTCTTGTAGTCACATCAGCATTCACCTTTGCCGCCTCATACCTCTCCTCTCTTCTCTTTTCCATTACCTTGCCTTGTTTCACCATTCTTTCCATGTACTCAAGCATCACAGGCTCCGTCCTTGAATTCTTATTTTTACAATTTTCTTCCCCTTCTGTTTGTCACACCCCTCGGGGCGTCGAAGAGGGCCACTTATACCATCGGTAGGAGAAGAACCACTACTTCCTCCAACAAACGTATCGGGAGTGACAGAAGGTACGAACGTAAAAGTGGGAGTAGTATCATATTGTTGATACCAATTCAGACATGCTTGAAGTATATGCCAAGCATGATCAAATTTAAATGCCTTGTCACGATTGTCGTTTACAAAGATTGTTTTTGCGACCATCGTCTACAAACAAACATTTACGTATTATTATATACGGAGTACCACTTATGACATTGCTATAAAACACATATTAGACTATACACGTATATAAATATACTACATATAATATATATAGACACACACACACTATACACGTACTAATATATATTATACTATATAAAATAGTATGTTAATAGAAATAATGTATAATATATGCGTAAAATAGAAATTATGTATAAATAATTTTATATACTATAGCGTGTAAATTATTTTAATAAATATTTTTATACACTTGCTTTTAAATACGAAGTAATTACTAACATATAATTATACTATATATAATTATACTAATACGTAAAAATTATGTATATTAATAATGCAATATATAAATAATATTAGTAATATAAATAATTATAATAGTATGTAAGATAGAAATAATGAATAATATATTCATGTAATACATAAAATGTTGTAATAACATTAGGGAGGATATATTTTAAAATACCACATCGATTAGGTTGGATCCACTTCTCTGGGTTGCATTTGCCTTTTGCAAACTCCCCTTCCATAAAGAACACTGATGGTTGATAACTTTGAACCGTGATTCAACCGCCTCCCTAGTTCGAACTACCGTATTTGCCTTTTGGCAGAACAACATGTGAACTCGAGACCAGAATGAATCGCCTGCTTGATTGATTCCGACTACACCATCTTCGGAAATAGACACCCAAGAGTTACACAAGAATACATCTTCATTGTAACTCCAATTAGAACCCCTCTTTTGTGAAGACATTTTATTAAGTAGTATTACAAATTGCTAAAAAACCAGATATAAAGTAGAGGATGAATGATGATTGAGGTGTATTGGAATGAAGGTATGAGTAGTATTTATATAGAAATCTCATTCCATTTTTTTTTAAATAATCAAAAAATAAAATAAATTATTTTACCCATCAGATGTAATTTTCAACCGTTGGATACCTAATTTGTTTTTTGTGTGTACCAAACCATTGTAGCCGTCCGATTTACCTAATTTTTAGCTACCTCAATTATTTTTATAAACTCCCATTTACACTTGGTGAGTCACGCAGGGCATTTAAAAGAAAAGGGGGATCACGCAGGTCATGCAGGCCATTCTCACACGCAGGGGTTCCGCTTTTTATCCACGCAGCAAGCTCCACCACTCCTTTTCTCTCTGCTGAAGGCCCACCTCTGCCCTTCTCACCTCCACGCCAGAGGCGATTACCCTCCTACAGATAGCTCCCCTTGGTTTTATCTACTACATGTGAGACCTCCGTATACTTTATTTTGATCCGGTTGCAGCAGATTTGGGGGTGAAAATTTAGGCATGGCCTCGGTTCGGGCCGCCCGGCCCGGGACCGGCCCGACCCGCTACTGTACGGGCCCGGCCCGGCCTGGTTATCCGGGTCCGGGTCCGGTTCGGGCCGGAGGCCCGGGGGTGGGGCGGTTCCGGGCTCGGTTCATGGTTTTGACGGCCCGGCCCGGCCGGTTCGGGCCCGGGTCCGGGCCAAATCTATTTTTTTTTTAATTTTTTTCATTTGTTTTGGGCTGTTGGGCTTGGGCTATCTGTTTAGGCCGGTTTGGGGGGGTTTGGGGGGGTTTGGGGGGGTGGGGGGTGGGGGGGGGGTGGGGGAAGAAAGGGAAAAAAAAAATTAAACCGGGTGGCCCGACCGGCCCGGCCCGGCCCGGCCCGGAACCGGACCCGGAACCGGTGGCCACCGGTTCGGGCTCGGGCCCAACAAAACAGACCCGAGGCCCGGCCGGGCCTAGGCCCGAACCGGGCCCGAACCGGCCCAGGTCCATCCATAGGTGAAAACCTTAGATTTGGGGTTTTCACCCCACGCATTGCAATCAGTCTAATAACATCAAAATTATACAGGACCACTTTTTGTTCTAAACAGCCTAAACAGCACACCCATAGAGTTTATTTTCTTCGGGACAACGCAAAGGTTACACAAGCACATCATGCCCACTTCTGACTATGGCTTGATTGATCAAAGATTGAGACCACTCATTAAACAAGACTGCATTGAACTTAATGGCTCAACAAGAGAGGGATGAACCAAAGAATTGGCTCTACAAATAAAGCACGCTTCTTCACCCAATCACCCCTAGGGATGTCATAATCCTCAACGTCACAGATTTTCTGGATTCTAAAACAATACATATATGATATGTATGATGCTGTAATGAAAGATCATGCCATATGATGAAGCATGGAAGTGTCAAAATAAGGTCCCTTCATATGCAAAATTCATACATACGCACACATACATGTGTGTGAGATTGTGTGAGTCTGAGAATGACCACCCTAATATTTCCATTCATTCAATGAAGTTGTAAGTGTCCAGCTGCATGATTTACTAATAATTTATAGAAGCCTGACTAAAAGATTCTTCATGAGAGCTTCTTAATACCACCACCCCACCCCATCAACTGGCTGTTTTCCTAGACAGAGCAGGTGTGCAAAAGTACACGAAAAGGATAAGCCAAAATCCAAAATAGGCTGGGGAAAATTGGATTACTAACTAACTATAATATGTCACTTCACAGCAGTATACAGGCTTCAATGATGTGAAAGATTGATTGCCCATATATATGGAATGTACAAGAAGAAGAGATTCCCAAGAATGTAGAGCTATGAATTCTTGAAGAATAACAAGTACACTGACTAAGCTTTGCTCTCTCTTCACAGAAATATAGGAGCCATGACCAGAGTGATAGTTGCCAGCATTTTTATGAGTACGTGCAACGAAGGTCCAGCTGTATCTTTGAAAGGGTCTCCTACACTGTAGGAGGGAAATTCAATCAAATTTAGGACAATTCCGCATGTCAGAGATATACATTTTCCCCACTTTTAGTCTCAATAACTATTTTGTCACTTTCATTCCCTGCACTATGATTTTTGCCACATTTAGTCCCCATAACCCCTTTTAAATCACACCAAGATCTGACGCACGATTAATTCTGGTGAGTTTGGCCGGAAAATTAAACGAGGACTACTGTGTAAAAAACCACAGAAGTAAATGTGACAAGCATAATTGTTGTATCACACTGAGTTAAAGAGACTTGCAAAATTTGGAATAAAATGAAACACACACACATACACACGCAAACACATGCAAGTAGAACATGAAAAGAAAACCACTTACGTATCACCGGTAATTGCTGCTTTGTGGCAGTCGCTTCCTTTGCCGCCAAGAGCACCAGTTTCAATGTACTTCTTTGCATTATCCCAGGCCCCACCAGCAGTGTTGAGGAATAGAGCCATCAGAATACCAGACACTGTAGCAAACATCAACATTGATGCCACAACTTTTGCTCCAAGCAGTGGCTGCCCTGTGTAATATCCCAACATCCGGAATACCAAACCTGTAATGAGTGGTCAAATGAGCCACCTAATTTTCTTGTTTCTGTTTACAGGCTGATAAGGCCAACTAATATATGATATCTTTGGTTTTAAAAACGCCACTCGTAATAGTTAGTATGAGCACTCACGAATATAAAGGAAAACACATGAGCTTATTAACATTAATTTTCATGTGAGAAAAGAAGAGCCTTATATAGATCTGCAAGCAACAAAAAAGTAAAAAACCAAATTTTAGAGAACAAACCAACAACAGCAGGTGATATAATAGCCAAGGCTCCAGGTTTTATCATCTCTCTTAGAGATGCAGAAGCAACGATAGATACACATCGACCATAATCTGGTTTCTCTTTGTAGTCCTACACCAATCATTTTCCGGAAAAATAATTAGAAAAGCAAATAGAGCATCATAGGCAGCATACGACTTTAATAATTAATACTAATACATGATTGGAGAATATATCAAAGATGAAGAACACAAACCATTATTCCTGGCCTCTCAATGAATTGTCTCCTGACTTCATTGACAACTTCTTGAGCGGTCCGACCAACTGCCGAGCAAGCCCATGCACTGAACAGAAATATAAGCATAGAGCCCAGTAACCCACCAACAAATACCTCAGGTATGGCAATATCAACCTATGTGATGAATTTTAGATACCAAAATTGATTTAGAAAACAAAGATTATAAATACACATACTATGTTGGTAAAAAAGAAACCAATTAACAAGTTGGTGGGTATTTTAGTGCAAAACCATACTTGCTTAAAAGGTGCATTAGAAAATGCAGCAACTTCATCCATGTAAGCACTGAATAGAAGAAATGAAGCCAAGGCTGCAGATCCAATAGCAAATCCTTTGGTTGTGGCTTTAGTAGTGTTTCCAACCGCATCAAGAACATCAGTTATCTCACGAACACTTTCTGGCTGCAGCAATATTATTATTCATTATACTATAGTCCACTCTGTAAATTATCTTTTATAACAGATCTCATTAGTAGCTTTGTAAATATCTAACAAATATGGAGTTGGATTGTGAAGCTTTACCTGTTGACTCATCTCAACTATTCCACCAGCATTATCGGCTATAGGACCAAACATGTCCATGGTAAGAACGTATGCTGCTGTGCTCAGCATTCCCATGGTTGCAACAGCTGTCCCAAACAACCCGCCAGTTGGATTTCCTGAATCATCTATCAGTCCTGACGTACGACCCAGCCAGAAAGCCGAGACAATGGATACACTGATGACAAGAACTGGAAGAGCTGTAGCTTCCAAACCCAGACTAACACCAGCAATTATATTAGTTCCATGGCCTGTTGCGCTAGAAAGGGCTAAGGTGCGCACAGGCTCATGTTTATAGTCAGTGTAGTACTGTGTTATCCAAACGAATGCATATGCTGTTATAATTCCAACCAAACCACAGAGTGCAAAATTTAACCAAGCAGAAGGTGCTTGTTCAGTGTATAATAACCACCGCGTGGACTGCAAGTAAATTGTTAAGACATAATAATCAGACACAATTACGCTCCACATACCATTTCCTCTAATGTTCCCAAAAAGAAACAATATTAAAAATGATAAAGCACATACAATGAATTGAGGTTGAGTGAAGATGAAATTACCACTCCAAAGGTCAGAACAGCTAACAATATTGTAATTGAATATCCCTTTTGAAGAATTGCCATAGGATCCTCTATAGCACCAATTATTCCAGCCTCACGTTTGTTCCGAATAGAGAGTATGCCAACAGATGAAATAATCAGATCAAATGAGTGAACAACAAGCGGAAATAAAATGAATCCAGATGGATCTGCATGACAAAGAACAGAGAATATTATACAAGACACTATTGCATCCATCTGCATAATCAAGAGTAATGTCATAAGATTCAGCTAACAAAATATACTCGGAAGATTCAAAATAAATTAACCACAAATGGAAAACAAAGGAGCAAATGAGCCAACATCAATATTAATTAAACACATAAATCATCTACACGACTTCAATACAATAAGCGCTGTCCAAAGCTGAAACTTTTTTATCTGTTACATACCCACATCTATTCACATTCAGATCAGGTTCCATCTCCACAGAACAATCACACAGATAGAATATTGTAACAAATTAAGGGCACACTGTACATATCCTTCTCAGATTTACAGTTCGCTAAAATGGAAAGCCATTGTCAGAATTAAGTTAGAATAAATGGATGAGCCAAAAGCCCTAAATCAATTAAAGAAAGCAAATATGTAATCAATCAGCTAAAACTGCAGTCCACCAATATAGATGTGGTTGCGATCTATGTGGAGATTTAACCCATTTATGAATGAATCTCTCACCTTCAATTTTGCAGCGTCGGGCCATAGTTCCACCAAGTATCATCGCACTAATAATTTCTGCAGCAATACTTTCAAAAAGATCAGCACCCCTAGCAGCACAATCACCAACATTGTCTCCGA